ACCATCCCTTGCAGGCACCCACTCTCCTCCTCCACCCCCTGCACATAGTAATCCCCTTTCCCCCCCACCCCAGACACTTTTTCTGGCATCTCTTTCCACCCCCCTCCCCCCCGCTTCTGGGCCACTGGGGCGCCCCCTCACCCACACGGCTAAGCTGCTCATGGCCCTGTGCTGGAGGCAGGGGCTCTTGCCCTGGAAGCCCATGACACCCCAGTCCCATTGTAGCCAGCTGCACCCCCTGCACATAGTAATCCCCTTTCCCCCCCACCCCAGACACTTTTTCTGGCATCTCTTTCCACCCCCCTCCCCCCCGCTTCTGGGCCACTGGGGCGCCCCCTCACCCACACGGCTAAGCTGCTCATGGCCCTGTGCTGGAGGCAGGGGCTCTTGCCCTGGAAGCCCATGACACCCCAGTCCCATTGTAGCCAGCTGCTGCTGATGAGCTTCCTTCCATTTCCCCCCACGTGCCTTTCAGCGCAGAAAGGGGACTGGAGACATCCCATTTACATCAGGGCTGGGCAGTAGTGGGTGGTGATGACTGGTCTCTTGTGTGTAGTTTGGGGGAGATTAGAAAGAATTACTGAGAGCTTCCCTAATCTTTGCTGTCGTCTTTTTTCTAGCCCCTCTCCTCTCACTGGGAGGAGGCATTAAAGTCCATCCCCTCCCCCAGTATATTGCTGGTGCGCTCAGACCACTGCTGTGTGTGGTTCCTGTCTGCGGAGCCCGTGGGGAGGGGGAGAGAGGAGGACCCTTTAAAGAGAGCACAACCCAAACACAGAGTGAGATTGTCCGTTTCCTTTCTCTGTGTGTGTTCATTGTCTGTTCCCCACGCCCCATGGTGTCTCCTCTCCAGGTTTGGGGTGTGTGGTGGGGGGGTCGCTATGTCGGATGACGATTCGAGGGCCAGCACCAGCTCCTCCTCATCTTCATCCTCCAACCAACAGACAGAGAAAGAGACAAACACGCCTAAGAAGAAGGAAAGTAAAGTCAGCATGAGTAAAAACTCCAAACTCCTCTCCACCAGCGCCAAGAGGTGAGACTGTTAGCAACAAAACACCGCTTCACTTCTGTCTCTTTGCTTGTCCAACTCTTCTCTTTGCCTCCCTTCTATTGAGCATTAATCACTCCTATTCATTATGACTGGAAATCATACCTTCAACCCCCCTCACTATCTCCACGGAGCAAAGAGCATTTACACACTATTACTGCTTCTGTTAGCCTCTCCTCCTCCCAAGCATTACCACAGTCTATATTCCTTCTCAGCAACATCCTTCTTCTCCATAGTTATTGCTCTTCTCATCCCCTTTCTTCATCATAAGTATAGAGAGCCAGAATTGCATGCAACTGTAATTCCTGGGGTTTTTTTTTCTGAACTCTGTGGCCTTAAGCAGGCTGTTTAACTTCTTCATCAGTTTGCCCATCAGTAAAATGGGGATGACGGTTGATTTTATAAAGCATTTTGAGCTCTCCTATTGAAAGGGCTCTTACAAGGTCAGCCCATCAAAACGTTACTTTCCTGTCTCCACGTCACTTGCATTCAGTTCTTGTCTATGTTGGGAAATTGACTCAAAAAACTCTTCCACTACTTAAGCCAACACTTTCGTCTGAAATAATTATTCTGCTCATAGGTGACTGGTAGGGGGTGCATGGGGGTCTGACACCAACGCTGTTGGCAGAGCTGGTGCCCCCTCTGACAGGGCCACCACCACTGGTGGCTTCTGTGGGTGCCCCCCTGATTCAGGAGGCACCAGTCACTCATGATCCTGCTGATAAAACATAGTATTTTTTCCAGAATATTGTTCCCAGAAGGGAGTCATACCAGAATAGTTGAATTTATTCTAGAACAGCGAGCCTAGAATTGCTGTGCTGGTCATTTTTTCCCAGTAGTCAGACCCTTAAAGCTAACTCACTTCTACAACATTACTGCTACCCTCTCTGCTCTGCTTCTCATCTTACCTGAATTTGCCACCACCATGCTCCCAAAAGCATGAAGAATGGAGTTTCCAAGTAAACTTCCATTACTTCTTCCACAAACAGAATATTCCATCTAGTTAATGGCTTTGCCATGCAGCAGCAAAAAACTTCCCAGCTGTAGATGTCAACAGCGTCTGGATTTTTGTCGATTTTTCTATGATTTCTCAGCTGATGCTAGTCTGTCACAGCCCAGACTTTTGTGGTGTTTAGGCAGTTGGTTACGCAGAACTCAACAGAGCACATTTACTTAGCAGTCACCTAGCCAGTGGCAACGAAGTTTCTTGTAAAGCCTGCTGATTGTAAATTGCCTAATATAAATAGGCTGTGGTTCTCATAACATGTGACAAATGGAAGAAAAGGCAAATGAGAAGGAAGGGAGTCTGGCTGTATGGAGGGGGTAGATATGGAAGTGAGGTCTGAATGGCAGTAATGGGACTGAGGGGTAGGGGGTGGTAGCTGGGTGGTTGGTGATGATGTAGTGCTGCATAGGCATAGAGGCTTTTGAAGCAAGAGGCAATGAAGGGACTGGGGTGCTGTTTGGACATGGCAGTTTTGTATACATAAGTGGGGGGGTGCTATGTGCTATCGTGGAGGCAGTAAAGGAGTTGGAGGTTGTGGGGGCATAAAGGGCCTTGGAGATGTATGGATATTCACTTCCCTTTAGTACTTTTTCCCAGAGGTGGCTTAGGAGTGTGTGCCAGTTTGGTTCTGTTTCCAGTTATCTGCCCACTAAGGTCCAGCCCCTTCTCATGGGAAGAGGGTGAAGCCAGTGTTGGCAGTGGAAGATTGTGGCACTAGTTGTTTAGTCCAGAGCAGTGGGACAAGGATGCAAAATCTCCAGGCTACAGCCTCCTACTCTCAGCCAGTGCATTGGGTCTGTTAGGAGAACATGTCTTATTATGAGTGTGATGGAAGAGGAAAAGGCTCTGTCTGTTCCACCCTGTGGTTTGCAGTGGTGTCTGCCTGTATCATAATGCATTGGTCTGTGGCTCTGGCGTGGTGGTGGGGGGAAACGCAGTGTCTTTTTTTTACTTTCAGTGTCTTTGTCATTGGCTTTCAGTGTCTCTGGGAGTACATGGGAGAGGGTTTTGCATACTTGTACAGAGGGTTTTGCGCGCACACAGCCACAGACTCAAGTGACTGCATTGGTAAAACCTATGTGTTGAGGATGATCCCACATAGTGACTTACCTTTGTTCTCTCTTGTTTTTATTGCCACAGGATTCAGAAGGAATTGGCGGACATCACTTTAGATCCACCTCCCAACTGCAGGTTTGTGTTGATTTTTTTTGTCCTTTGTGGGGCAGGGAGGAGCTAAAGGATGCTTTTTATTATTTATAAATACTGTATCTTCATAGGTTATAGATACAGTGGATGAACAGCTGTTTAGATTGACATAAATACTTTCATGAATGCTTGGGTGACGTAAAATACTCCCCCTGTGGGGGAAAGCTCAAGAGATTGCATGTGTTTTGACATGAATTTTCTGTTTGTTTTGTTTTTTCGTAATTGCATTAGAATTTGTCACACTGCCCATGCATATGTTTCTGAAACTGGTCAGTAAGAAAGTGTGTGAAAACTTGCCCCTTGTTTGTTTGTTTGTTTGTTTGTTTTGTTCCCTTTGGTTTAAAAATCTAACACTTGACTGTGTTAATCTTATTTATATGAGTACTGCCAAAAAAGCAGAGAATAGTAAAAGACTATGGGTTCTTTTCAGCTCTTTGCTAAGCAGTAACAAGGGTGGAAGAGAGTTGTGAGTTCATCAGTCAGTATGCGTACCAAAGAAGACAGTCTAGTATCTAATAAAATAAGAGGCTGGAGCATGCTCTTGGCCTTTATAGAATGGTTATTTGAGCTATATTTTAAAGATGTAAACACTTTGTTCAGTATAGCTGCTAAATGTTATTTTGTTCCCCTCTGAGCTGTCTTGGCTTCCTTGATGCCACTCAGCATTTGGGGATGAAACAGCCTTTGGTTGTTTCTGTTGAACAGAAAGGCTGCTTTCAGCCTGGTCCTCTGTCCACTTCAGTTGCTGTAGACCTGTTTCCAAAGAGCTTCTTTAGTTCTTTATCTGACTGCTCAGATCTTCCTGCTACTGCTGAGCCAGGTCTGAAGCTTTTGATGTCAGTCGTGGCAGCAATTAAAAGAAAAATGCCATTTAACAATTCAGAATTGGTCTCTTAGTTATTCAGAGTGGATTTTCCACTCACTTTTATATTGCTAGCACTTTGAAATTTCTTACTCTCCTGGTTTGGTCAGCAGGGAGACATTAGCATTGGAGTTAGGTGAAGGGGTCCTGAATAGCCTTTTCAGGACCCCTTTCTCAGGACTCTTAACTGCAGTAGCTGGGGATGGGAAGACAGTATTGCAAGAACAAGGCGGATCTGGAGTGAAATAAAGTTTACCTTTATTTAAAGGTTCAGCTAAAAGACACCTCTGGCCCTTGTTGCCAAAAATCAACAACTGTACTGGTGGGTGATGCACAAATGAAAAAAGGAGATTCTCATATTGTTATGAGATTATTTTTTCATTTAAAAAAAAAAAAAAATTTTAAGATGGCTTAAAATTTGACTAGATGAATTGAAATAGTTTGGTGGTTAATAGGCAAGGAATGCTTTTTATGTAATAGTAAGGTGTGTAGCATTTGAAAAATAGCTAATGAGTTTTGTACTTTTCAGATACTGCTAAATTGCTTTAATGGTGTTATTGTGCCCAGGAACTGTAGTGAGGGGCACCTCCTATGTTTCTTTATAAAGAAATCAGGTTGCAGCTTTCATCCAGAGCCTCCTATAAATGATGTCAAAATCCTAATGTTCTCTTATCTACTTGTTGCTTTTCCTGGGTCAAGATTAGCTACCAAATGAGTTTTTTTTCAAAATGTATATTATGTAGCCATAAAAATATTACTAACATAATGTAGATCATTGGCAGTTATAAATTTTGGGGCACCTATAGACAAGTTTGCACTGTTTCAGCCTTTATGAATGGTTTTAATGGTGGAAATTAGTTCACTGTACAAGTAGTTATAATAATATCAAACTGATGTCCTGCATTCTTTCTGGCCTTCAGATGAATGAGTGGAAGCTGGCAGTTCTATTTAGCAAATGCTTTTATAAAAATATTTGTTAACCTTTAAGTATCTGTTTAAAAAAAAAAAAAATCTGTATTTTTCTTTGTGAAAGCAGGTCTGCTAGTCTTGATGTAGAACGAGATTTGTATATTTCTTATTCAGAATAAATGAGTGGGTCTGTTAAGTTTAAAATGGCAAATGCCTTAGATTTCCTGACATGCCATAGGCTTGATGCTGTAAACAACAGACTTGTAAAAGTGTAGGCAGATGCTGATTGCCACAATGGTGAGATGAATTCCAGCTACTAAAGATATGTGGAGTGCTTATGTCCTGTGGAAGTAGTCAAATTAGGAGTGTGAAGAGATTATGCAATTGAGACGCTCAAGTTGCTGTGTTAAGGCTGTAAGTCTGTTCTGGGGAAGTCCTGCATTAGTACCACTGCCTTCAATTATTCCTTTTTTTTTCACTTCGAACTTTTCACTGTGAGGGAGTGACTAAAGTTGGTTTCTGAGCTTAATTTTAAGTCTTATCTATTCATTACTTTTAAAAGACTTCATAATGCTAAAAAAATCACTTATCCCACCCTTCCCCAACCCCCACTGCTCAAGCCTTTCATCTCATTGCTCCCTTTGTGTCTTTTCTCCTACGCTTCTCTGCATTCCCTATATGCACTCTATGCTACCCTATATGTAGGATGGGGGCTCCTTTATTCCTCCATTCTATTCTTTAAGGCTTATCTCAAAGCTCACTTCTTAGGAGGAACCCTGTAAGATGATGTGTAAAAGCACCTAAACCCTGTGGACTTCCAATAAGACTTAGGTTCCTAGGTATCTAAGTCATTTTTGAAAATTTAGCTGCTCTAGAAATATTTACCTTCTGTCTCATTAATATAAAACTAAGTCCATGTCATTCTGAAGGCTAGCAACTTTCTCAGCCAACTACTTGACCTTTGTATTCATCATCACTGTTGTCACCTTCCTCTCTTTCCAAGGCATTCCAGACATCTCCTTCTGCTTGCCAGTTCCTCCTTGTTTTCAGGGTCTTAATTTAGGGCCTGCTTGCTGAGCACCTTAAATTGCCACTGAAGTCAGCAGGAGTTCAAAACCATTCAACATGCTGAGTTTCTTCTGAATGACCAAGATCTTAGACTAGAAACTCTGTTGTTGCTCAATTTATTTTTTTTAATGGCTTTTTCAAAGCCACATAGGAGGCTTTGAAAGTCGGGAGTTTTATTTTTGTAGGGTTGCAAATGTATGTTCAGCCTTTAATCAAAAAGAAATAGACTTTTTGCCTGCTGAAGCCTTTCTGTTGGCAGTGTATTTAAAACAATACTTGGATATTTGCTTTCTGTTGGAGAGATGTGTGTTCTCTTAAATGCAAGTGGCTAATTTTAAGTAAGTCTTGTTTCTTTCTCGTCTTTTCAGTATGTTAACATTTTACTTAAAGATACTGAGGTAGAGAAAAGGGCTGAAAAGCTTTAATTTCTTTTTGTCCTTTAATGAGATTATTTGGCCTCTGACACTGATGAGAGGTGGAGAATCTGTTTTTTGATTGGGGATGTCAGGTTATAAAAGCTAGCCCTAACTTTCAAATCCAAAAGATGATCATTTTGTGAAATTGCGATTTAACTTCATAGGTTTAAATATTGCACATTTACATCACAGTCGTAATGAAATTTCATTTCTCTTTCTAAATATTAGGACTTGCATTTTATCAAAACAAACTGACTTATTAAGAGAACTCAAAGAAGAATATGTTGAGACTCTTGTTCTTTGTTATTATATGTGGATGCTGTTAATGGTGCTATCTAAGTACCTCTTTATATTACAGATTCAAGGGTATCATGAAAGTGGCATTCTCTGACTTTACTTCAAATGTTAAAATATATAATTCTAGCTTGCCATTTAAACAGGGTTAACTGTCTAATCGTGTTCATGAATATCATGACAACCTTGGTATTGCTCTGACAGGGTTTCCAAGGTGTTAGCAGGAACAATCGTATACATGACTATCTATATTTGTTACTGCATTGTCTTCATATATTTGAGCAGCAGTATATATGGGCATCTCACAGTCTGAAATCTATGGAGCCCTGTGAAGTAAATATTTATTCCCAATTTTCTGATGAACAATGAAGGCAGGGAGAGACTAGGTGACTTTCCCAGGATCACACAGGAAGTCTGTGTCAAAGCAGGAACTGAACCAAGGTCTTCTGTGTTCCGGACAAACACCCTCCCAACTTCTCTGGAACTGTATAGTTCATGCTTTAGATTTGACATTCAGAAGGAGCCATAAGGAATTGACAGAATTTAAGCCTGATCATTTAATTCTATTTTTTTCCCTCTGTATAGAGGGATCAAAATATATATTAATTAAAACTTACTAATGTCCATTTTTAATTCTCAGCTCTTTACTAAGCACTAACAGTAGTGGAGGAGTTCATCAGTCAGTATGTGTACCAAAGAAGACTGGTATCTGATAAAATAATAGGCTGGAGCATGCTCTTGGCATATGGCACATGACTTAATGAAGAGAGGTTGAGGGAACTGGGCTTCTTCAGTCTGCAGAAGAGAAGACTGAGGGGGGATCTGATAGCAGCCTTCAACTACCTGAAGAGTAGTTACAAAAAGGACAGACCTAGACTGTTCTCAGTGGTAGCCAGGGGCGACGTGGGGGGTGCACGTGCACCCCCTGAAACCACTGGTGCACCCCCTGTCAGGCCATGGTCCCTGTGTAGCCAGGGGGCAGGGGGGCATCCAGGAGCACCAGTGCCCCCCTGTGAGCACTGACCGGGGAGCGGGGCTGCCAGCAAAAGTGGCTGCGCTGTTTCTGGAAGTGGCTGCAGAGCTCCAGAAGCGGTGCAGCTGCTTTTGTAGTGAGTGAGATCGGAGCCCCTCCAGCCAGTGGGATTGGCCACCAGGGGACCCCACCCCCGGTCACTGACTGGTGCCAAGGGGGGCACATGCCCTGACTCGAGAGGCACCAGACACCCATGGTGGTGGCAGATGACAGAACAAGGAGCAATGGTCTCAAGTTGCCGCAACTGGGAAGTTCAGGTCAGATATTAGGAAAACTCTCACTAGGAGGGCGGTGAAGCACTGGAATGGGTTACCTAGAGAGGTGGTGGAATCTCCATCCTTGGACGTGTTTAAGGCCCAGCTCAACAAAGCCCTGGCTAGAATGATCTAGTTGGGGATGGTTC